ACTTTTACAGTCTTTATCAACCCTTTTACCTCAGAAGCAGACAACTCTGAACACAACAGCTCCAGAAGGATACCCCAGCAGTCAGCTGAATTTATTTAAAACTGACAAAATCAAACAAGTTTAATCTTGCCATTAATTATGACTTATTATGAGCCATATTTCCAAAATCTCTAAATACATATATATCCATCAGAAAAAAAGTCACATAATGCAAAATACAAAATAAGCAGTTTAAAAGGTCAGGATATTTGGGGGGAAAAGAAATTAATTAAATTTCATTTTCACCAACATTATTCACTGTCAGGTGCAAGTAACCAGGAACAGGAGTTCAAAGCACTATAAGTTTATTACAGGCTACCTATGCACAAGACTTTGTTCTACTAACCGTCAAGGCAAATTGGCAGTAGATAAGAGTCAACAAAATTCATAGAGAGCTGGACTTAAGTCTCTTGTGGCTGCACCAGGATTCCAAACCGATGACGCATTTGACCCCACCTTTGGACTCCACCTGGCCATCTCCCACATTCACTATACTTCTCCATGCCTTTCAATCCTATGTTGCTCTCTGTGACCACAATAAAATTTGATTTGATCCTTGCAAACTATATATGCTTTAATAGTTTTTAATTAAGTGAGAGCTGTTTCATAATATCCCATTGTGTGAAGCGCTAAGGACCAAGTCCAGATTTCTACATTAGTCTGTGACATGTAGATTTATTGATTGTACAATTTAAAAATATCAGATTCCTAAGGCTTCCCCAATTCATACAGAAACAAGCAATTCTTGAACTCTTTACCTGAACAAGGAAGGAAGGAAGGACATACAATTCTCCCTTAGCAGCCATAATTTGGGAACCGGTTTTGCAATAGTTTCAAAACTGCCATCAGCAGGAGAGAAGGTTAAAAATGATGATTGAAAATAATCAGTATTATTTAATCAGTATTAAATATTTACTGTATTTCACTTTCTTATCTTTTTATCTGAAGGTCCTTCATGCTTTGCTGTTTAAAAAAACCCAACTCTATTTTCACTAGGCTAACTCTGTGCCAACTGAAATGCAAATGAAACTATAAATATTTGTTGATAAGAATTCTTTAAAAAAAAAAATCAGGTCCATTGTTGTTCAATATGATTGCTGTGATTCAAGTCTTTATTTCCAGAACAGATAACTCTTACCTGTTACCTGTTACCTTTTATCTAGTTTCCATTGGTGGGGAGGTGTTTGCTTTTGGTTTGCTTGAAAGATTAGGCTTCACATAATCTGTCTTTGGCTTTACAATCACTAAGGAAAGCCTGTTGATCTGATTCAGACAAGAACATTTCTGAATGTTCTGAAACTCTTTTGGTTTCGGAAATTAAGATTTATTCTCTGCATTCAGAAATGAAAAAAAAAACTCCACTAATAATACAGTGGTTTCATATTCTTGTATTTTAGAATGAGCTAAATTTTTTCCCACTCATATGGAACAAAGTACCACTGTTTATGCTAAAGTGACACAGGACGTTTTCATTTTGCTTCTGCCACAAAGAAGGGAGGGTTTCTTCTCCCTCCCCCAGTTTAAGATTGTCATGATAATCTCAACTGGGCCTATAAATAATTACTGACATACATTATGAAAAGCTTTGATTTGTAAATTGAGATTGGTGCCTCTCCCCAACTATAATTTTTAGTAGGAGAGTAACTGAGTCTTCTAATCCTTGACAATGACAAAGAATGCATTCAGAACACTATGTGTGCAAGACCAGCTGCCCGTACATACCTCTACAAGAAGCTTATTAAAATCCCATCTTCCTCCATTTAATAGCATCATGTCAGCATCCCGTATCTCAGAGGAGCATGCTTTCTCTCTATCCCATCCCACCCCGTAACTCTTAAATTAAAACAAAGCTGCAACAAAAGCAGGGGGGGAAAGTGAAGCTGTATTGTCCACTGGTTACCCCTTGTTCTCCATTTGTCCTAAATCAAGCCAGACAGTCACAGCAGAGAACAATGATAACAGATGGAGCTGCCAGTCCACTAGGTTGTTCCTCCTACTCTCACAGGCACTACAGAAGTTGTTGCCCCACAGCAAGAAACTGCCATTTATTGTGCTATTATCAGCACAAGCAGTACATAGCCAGAGTACTGCCAGCTGCCAGCCACACAATCTCTGAGCTGGCAGAAGGAAGCTCAAACATTAGTCCCCTGATCTTCCAGTTATTTCTTTTCCAAGGTCATGGGCAAAAGAGCCTATCACAAAAGAAAAGGAAAAAAAACCCCACAAATATTTGGTGTTATACCTTACAGAAACATCTATCTCCCAATTAACACAACAGCCTGGGCGAGAGATTTACAAGGATGAGTAGAATCTTTTCTGATGCATGCAAAGTCTCTTCTGGAAAACCTTTTCCTAACTGTTTTATTTTCTGTTCAAGGCCAAATCTAATACACAGGATTCTTCTAAGGTGCCTTGAAGTGGACTCTGTTGCTACTCCAATTTTGTAAGGATATGCATTACTGCCAAATTCAAGCTGAACAGTTTTTCTTAAATTTTTTTGCCCTACAGGTAAGTGGGAATACAACTCCCACTGGATGTGCTGCCTGGAGATAATAGAATGAGAAGCAAGCAAGACTCTTACTAAGGCATGTTTTCCAATTAGGTTTACCACAGGGCATTTTCCTTGCTATAAAAAGCAGAACCAGCTCTATGCTCAATTTGACAGGACTAATCAATTTTGTTTTAGAATCTGGAATCTAAATTCCACATATTACAGAACTAGTGTGACAGTTTTCTGTAGACATTTGTGGGTTGAAAAAAGGCGTAATACCGCCAGTTTTTTTTCCTCTTTATACTGCACAGAAGTAATGACAGTTAAGCTTCAATATAAACACAAACCATTACCTATAATCAATAGGAAAGAAGTAAACTAGCTCAGTAGTACGGGCAATAAACATACAGCGAACCAACATCTCCATTCACTTGTTAAAAAATATCTGCCAATCCTTCAATATCTGCTATTTTAGCTGTATTCCAAAGTATATTCTAGCTCATGGTATTGATAGAGAGGGAAAGAAATTAAAGATATAAAGATACTAATCTTCCCTTCTTATATAAGCCTCCTGAAAATGCAGATTTCAGTTATTAAATATCACGAGGCTTCCAAAGCACTTAAAGCAAAGTATGTTTTCTTTTTCCTCCACAAATAGCTCTTGCCATAAAAACCATGATAGGAAAGTGATGAACCTTGACAGCACTCTGGAGAAAATGATACTGAATAGGCATTTCCCCTTTTTTTTTACAGTGTAAGCTCAGTCCCACTTCAGCAGCCATCTGGAAGGCATCAGGCTGGGGAATGGCTACCCTGTAGTGGAGAAAACAAGTGTTCACAAATCCTATCTAAACCCAAGTGGTAGATTTTTGTTTCCTTTATGAGATAAGTAGGTAGCTTATGTGCATTTTCCCCTGCTTTCCCACATCAATATTTTCCACATAAAAATAATAATAAAGCAGGATCAGGCAATGCATACATGCATACATAAAGCGTTGCTATTTCCAGAATCTAGGCAGAATAAAGTAATACGCTATCAGCTGGGCTACAGATCTGATTCTCTGAAAGCCATTAGCTCTAAGCATTTCCTAGATGAGCACCTGAAGGGTCAAGTAAGCCTTATGCACCATCCATGAAGATGCTCTTTTCTCCTCAAAAACAATACATTGCTATAAATAATTCAGTACGGGCAGGGGACACTTCACAGATGTGCTGGGAGATGCAGTGGCAGAAATAATATATCAAGTTATACAGCTCACACAAGCTTCTAAACCAGTATTTCTCAACCTTGACCATTTTAAGGCATGTGGACTTCAACTCCCAGCATTGCTGGCTGTGGAATTCTGGGAGTTGAAGTCCACCTGCCTTAAAATGGTCAAGGTTGAGAAACACTGTTCTAAACACACAGTCTGCCTTTAAAATCTTTGGAAGCAACCGAGAAGCTTTATCTGTTTCATTCCTTCTGTTCTTCCTAGGAATACAGCCAGTCCTCAGTTAATGACCACTTGTTCGGCAACTGCTTGACGATAGGATGGTGCTCAACAAGAGGAACTCATGACTGGTCCTCTAAGTTCTAGCCGTCCAGCGCCCCGTTGTCACATGACTGCAATCTGTGTACTTGGCCACTGGCTTGCACTTTCAATGGCTGCTGTGTCCCATGGCCAGGGGATCAACATTTGCAACCTTTCCAATTGGCTTTCCACAAGCAAAGTGAATGGAAAGCTGTCAGGGAAAGTTGCAAGACACTATGCTAAGTCTTCCCCACCCAACAGCAGCCACCACCCTCAGCCTCCCCACCCGACAGCAGCCACTTACCAGCATGCCAGACTGCTACATGGGACGTGCAACTTCCTGTCATTTTTGGGTCGTTGGAATTGGCAAAGTGGTAATGAGGTTCTTGCTTAACAATTCACGATCCTTGCTTAGTGACGGCAATAGGGACTGCTGGGATTGCCAGTGTGGTCACAAGACACATTACAACTGCATTGCTCGGTGACAGAAATTTTGGTCTCAATTACTGTTGTTAACCAAGGACCACGTGCCTACGATAAATAGCCCGAGTTACAGGCTACACTAAAGTCACTACCATTCTGTACAAACAATATAAAGCACAGGATAGGAAGTTCCCAGATTCTTTTATAGCATCAATGAAGACGATTAATAGCTACACCTTCATCATTCCATCAATTGCATTTCAGAAACAACCCTTCACGTCAACAGATTTAAAAACTACAAAATCAACTTTCCAGTTCTTCTGGGCCAAGAATGACACCCACTTAACTATCAAGATTCCAGAACAAGGGACACCATATAGCAAAATAGGACATCATATAAACTACGGGACAGCATACTCCACCCGTTATTAAGGAAAACACTGTGGATATTAATATTAAAATGATATTAATGGTTTCAAGCAAAAGCAGCGTCCAAGGAACCCCCCCCCCCAAAAAAAAACCAACCTGTGTCTTACCTTCTCTGATTTGACCTTTTTGAGCTGTCGGCACTCGCTCTCCCCATCTTCCAGTTCTGATTTAACTCCCAAAGGGTTGAGCGCAGATCCCGTGTCAATAGCTATACCTCCAAGCTGCTCGGCGGCGGCAGCAGTAGGATCAGGTCCTTGGCCGCCGTCGTACTGCCCAACCCTGACCGCCAAGGCAAGCGGCTGGAGGACCGTGGGCTCCTTTTCTGCTGGAGTACCCACACCCTCACTCCTTTCTTTCTTACTCTTGGAAGAGCCGCCTTCCTTCTCCTTCTTTGAGTTCGCCACGCTGCGAGAAGTCTTGGCTGATTTCTCAGAGCCTTTGGGGGCCATGGCAGCCACCAAACCCCCAGAGTTCACGCCCTCCCCCGAGCGCCCCTGAGCCTCCTTCTTGCCAGCAGTCCCCTCGCTTGGCGTGAAGAGGGAGGATCCTGGGGCAGCCTTACCAGTGTCCTTGCTACTTTTACTCCGCTTGGATTTGGACTTGCCTTCCTTGTTCTGCGGACCTGGCACCGGAGTCACAAACTTGATGTTCTCTGGCAAGGTCGCCACAGCGTTCGGGGCTGGCAGGCCCACCTCCTTGGAGCCCGACATTTCCAGTTTCTGCTGGTCCTTCTCCAAATCCGCGTCCAGGTCAATGATGAGATTCCCTACTCCAATGTCCCATTCATCCCCACTGTCGTATGTCTCAACTGGGTTTGCATCCACTCCTTTCCCTCCAGTAGCTCCACTGCTCAAGGACATCTTAGAGTTAACGGCCACCTCAAGATTCGAGCCTGTTGGCTGCTCCTTCAGCCTCAGGGTGTGAAGTAGCAGCTTCAGCTATGTTCTCAAGCCTCCAGGGATCAAGAAGGACCCAGGTGATAACATAATGGCTGAAAGGAAAAGCAGGGACAACATATAATTACATTGCCATTATTTAGGAAGTGTATTCTAAAATCGTACACAACACACCAACAGGGGAAAGGATTTTACATGCAGAGTAATTGAATAGCATCACCTAGTCCTGCTTTCATTTCAGGCTGAAAATTACGAAATAGCGTTTTCCCTTCAGTCAGCCAAATACCAGCAAAGGGCAGTTTCAGATGTGCCTATGAACCCATGGCTGCCCTTCCATCTGTGGCTTTCTTTAAGCGTTATTGGGTGTCTTTTTCTGCTCCACGCTAAGCATGAGATACTGATGATCGGTACTGTAACACATGGGGAACACTTACGGGAACACAACAGCAACACCGTTTTTCAGAGAGATGGGTACTGTATTTTCATTTTATTCTCTAATTCCACAAAGCACAAAGATTATGCTTCGGTAGCACAAGGATGCAGATTGATAAAATAGATCGGGAGGAAGGAACACAAGTATAATATTAGCAGTTAATTCATATGATTGTAGTTGCCTGTACTATTTTCCATGCGTTCCCTCACAGATTCTCTGACTTTGGCTGCAAACAATCTGCTCTCTGACAGATCATTATGGAGATTTTTCACCTCAGGAGCTGGTATTAGAGCAGGAAATTTAAAAAACACAGCAGTGATTTTGCCTTTACGGTAGATAAATATAGAAGCATAAGCAACTGCAGAATCAGGAATGGCTTGGAAAAACTGCAGCCTCTCGCTACCCCACCTTCTGATAGAGTACATAGCTTACAGTACTACTATTTGTCTCCCAGAAATATTCTGGCTGATTGGCTTGTCACATCTTCTCCCTAAGCCTTTATTCCACCTAATGAGATCAGAAGCAACCTTCTTCCTATCTGGAGTAGAAGGGGCAGAGCCACAAAATGAATTATCGACGTGCCCTATCTTTTTTTAATGTACTAATAGAACAAGAAACATGTCCTACAGTCAGAAGAGCAGGAACCTGTGCATACTAACACTCCTTGAAAATCATCAGCCTCGTGCAATTTCATTTTTTGTTGCCGTTGTTCAAGAGGCTGGAAGAGAAATTACAGCATTCTACAGACATTTCTGCCAAATTGAAAAGGCTTATGGGAATTAAGATTTGCAGAAGGATGCCTGCTCAGAAGCACTGTTGTATTAAATATAGCCCAAATCCATCTTCAAGCACGTATCAGGAGACTGCATACATGGTTTATCCTAAACCAAGTTAATAATGTGGTTACTATTAATAATTAAACCTCCTCGGTTTAATACGTCTTTATAAGTCATGACAATTATTTTGATCCCAAGACCGATTTGCTTTTAACACAGAGAAAAGCATTGTGCTTTTTGAGGATTGAATGTTGTGATACACAGATTAAATTGTCATACTGAAAAATGGCAGATGACAGAATTTGAAGAGTTGCATTTCAGTCTTGATTATAAATCTGGCATGCAGTGCTCGGCTCCAAAGCAAGAATGAAGCTTCAGATGGGGTTGGTGTATTTACTGTATCTGCCAGAGGTTCTTTAAAGAAGACATGCTTTTTTCCAGACTTACACATGGCCCCTGAAAAATATGTTTACCATTCAGCTACAGTGTAAGCTCAGGAAAAAAAAAAAAAAACAGCATCTTTAAGGAGCTGCTGGCAGGCACAGTAAATCCACCCTTGCTGGATCTGGAACGCCTTTCCAGCTTCAGATCTGAATACTGCACACCTGGCAAATAAAAACAGGGAGTGTTAACTCTCTTTATGCCAACCAACTCTGTCAGTACTAAAAAAGTAAATATCTTCCACGGCAATCATATCTTTATACTCATCACAGAAAACTGCAATCAAATACGAGCTAATCTTGTTTTTTCTTATATGTTACAATTGCACTTCTGTCATAAATATTACCTGCATTCGGTACTTGAATGCTTAATAAAGCAGACTAGGCTCTCATCATTTGATCAGTTGAGCAGAAGCACACATTTTAAGAACATAGAAAAGATGTATGTGGAAACTTTGGCTTTTCTATCTATAGATTAAATAAGTAGTCTACTTTCAAGCTCATCTCAAGATACAGTGATTTTTACCTACAGCAACATAACACAATTCTCCAAAATTTTCCTTCTCCCTCAAACATAAACAGTTCTAGGCAAAATATTACTGTATGTTGTTCCTCCCGTGTTCACATAATCGCACAAAAGGCTGCCTATAGAAACTATGCCTTGCCTTGTAGGACAAATAGCAATAGCACTTAGACTTATATACCGCTTCACAGTGCTTTATAGCCCTCTCTAAGCAGTTTTACAGAGTCAGCCTCTTGCCCCCAACAATCTGGGTCCTCATTTTACCAACCTCGGAAGGATGGAAGGCTGAGTCAACCTTGAGCCGGTCAGGATCAAACTGCTGGCAGTCAACAGAATTAGCCTGCAATACTGTCTTTTAACCACTGCGCCACCACAGCTCTATATGCGCCAACAAATACTTACTACAATGGGTGGAGGTGTTATACTAATACAAATTAGAGTTCATAATATGAATTCCACTTCTGGTGTCTTAGATCCATGCCTGTCTAGGCTTCTTTGGGTGTGGTTGTGTAGGTATGGGTGTGTGAATAATTTCTGCCCAAACTCTTGTTAAAATAACCCACGTCTTCAACAACACTAAGATTACTACAGTGTGCTTGATCTGGGATTATTTTTGAAGGCTACTCAGAAACAGGAGTTGGTACAAAAGGGGTGTTGTCTTACCTGAATGCCTTTTCTCAGCACAGAGATGGAGAATGCAGTAGCCTTTATAGCAGCAGATGGAACTGCTACAATCATATTATACTCATATTTCAGGTGTTACATTATTATATTGGCTTTATGGAACTTGGCTCCCAAGTATCTTCAGGATTGACTCATCCAATTAGAAATGCCCATTCTGGGCACTTGTTCTCAACTGGGGTGCTTACCATAAACCATGTGGAAAAGGGGGGGGGGAGAAGGCTAGGAGTACTTCCCTGTGGTGTCCCCTACACTTGGAACAGCCTTTCCTCAAAGACCATGCTGGCAGCTATCGTTGTAGAAGGCAACTGACATGGATTTTTCCCAGAGCCTTCACGGTGCAATTTGTTACCATGTACTCTAGAGTTGTGTCCTGGTTATCATATATATTAATATCCTATTAATAATATTGCTTGTTTTATTGAATGTATCTCAACATTTTATCGTATTTTTAGTTTTGCTGTATTTTTACTATAAACTATGGATCTCTTTTATATGGCGGCATATAAATATAACAGAAATAAGCCAGAAGTTTGCCTTTTGTATGTTACACGCAAGTCCCAATATTTAGTTTTTTTTTAAAAGTATGGCTGGAAAATGTAACTAATAAACTCTGTGCACTGCGGATTTAACCAGAGGTCTGAAATCATACATCCTACTAATCTAACTATACCTTAGCTTGCGGCTTGTGGCACGCTGCCCCTCAAAAATGTGTAGTGCAGAAATCAGAAATAGGCATCCAAACCCCAAGAAATTACTGAGATCAGTCCAAGCATAGGAATTCTCCTCCATTTCCTTCTTGTCATGCAGAATTCTACCCGTGCAAAGCAGAAACTGCATGTACTCACTTGTACAACTGGCAGTATTCCAACAGGATTCTAAGGGAAGTCTTGGAACAGAAATACTGAGAGAGACAGCTTCTCACTTGGGAAAACCACACATATGCAGGGCCAGACATAAATATTTTAACTCCATTAAAGGCTGCACGAAACCACCATCAGCTGCATCTGCATTCCGAGAAAGAGTTATGTCACTAAAGAGCAACTTGACAGTTCACTTCCAAATTGTAGTCTCTATAAGGACACCTCCTCTAGATTTCGCAAAGACTCTGTTTTGACTTCTCACACAGTTTCTGCTCTCTTGCTGATCACAGCAGCCTGCACGATGCTGACCTTTGGCGGAGAAGTAAGAGGCAAAGAAAGGCCAAGTGGGAACGACAACGTGACGCCGAAAGATGGATTGATCCCACCAGCAGCTTCAGCTACATACAAAGAGAACGTCTCCTACCAGCTACATTCAAGCCTGCAGAACTCTTGAGTTGCTTCCAGACATTACCCACAGCAATTTTCAGCCTGATTAACTTTCAGGAACGCCATCGCTGAGGAACAACAGAAACGGTGGAAAATCTCCAGCGCCAGGCAACCACAGCTCCAGAGCTTGGCCAAGCTCACAGCATTTCAGATGGTTGCCTTGCCTTTCCAGGGCCGGAGCAAGCCAGCTTGCGTGCCTTCTGGCTCCAGGCGATCCCCAGGAAAACAAGGGAGAGCAATCAGAGCAGAACAAAGCAGCTTTTGAGATGGATCTGCCTCTGACAATTGTTAACAGACCTACCTTGGAGGGCCCAGAATAATTCCACTTTGTAACCCGGGACCTTGTTCCGTTAACCCCATCCAGCCTCTGAGGTGCCTCCTTTTCCGGAGAGGGCTGTGGAAGCCCGAGCAGCTGCCGTATTCTAGGGCCGCTCCTCCCGTCATCCTGGGGTTGGCAGCCAGCCCACGGCTCTCCTCCATCCACCACCTCGACACAGGCTCCTTTTTTGTTTCCTGACTAAAGAAACTCAGGGGGATGCATCTGGCTTGGCAGAGGACGCTGCTGCACTCTGAGCTCCTAACACTACAGAGCGGAGCTCCCTCCAGCTGCTTTGTTCAGGTTGAATCTTTCTTCTCTTTCTTTTTTTTTCCTTTTTCCCTGAGCAACTCCCATGTCTTTTTGTAGCCTCCTCTTTAAGATGTTGCTCTCTCTCTCTCTTGCGCTCTCTCCAGCGATGAAAACAATGTTGAATGAAAGCCAGCTGGCAGCCAGAAGGAGATGAAGGAATCTGCACAAAGGAGCTTCCTAACTCACTGCTTTCGTTCAAGGAACTGTCTGCTGGCAGGGGGAGGCGACGGCGGGGGGGGGGGGAGGTTTGCTTCTCTCTTTTTGAGGCAAGATCCCCCTCAGACTACAAAAAAGTGAAAGGGTTACAACTCCTGCCCCCCCCAATCCCTTGGCCCTGTCTATAATATGCATGCCCAACCACAAAGATTGGGATGTTACAAGGGAAGCAAGATCAAAATGAAAGATAATATGCCCACATAGGATTATCCACACCTGTCTGTGACTTAGAATAACGTACAAAGTCGTTCTAATTACGAAGGGTCTACGTGAGTCATTATTTATCCGGATTCTCATCTTAGAAATAATTGCACATCAAACAGTCCAAACAAAACCACACACAGAGGATTTTACTCGACTCACTCTTTATGACGATTTCTTTAGCGCACCACAGATGGATTATCACCAGGGTACAAGGTGGAGCAGAGAGTGCTTAAAAAGTAATAAAAAGGCAAGTTTACTTTGTGTCAAGGGGTAACGCTTTTTTGACACAAATGACTACAGTCATAAAATATGTCCATTAGGCTGCTTCTGAGTTATGCCCATGTATATAATTATATGACACTCTTGTAAATGAGGGAGCCAATAAACAGCAAGACTTCAGAACAGTTTGTATGATCTGAAAAAGCAGCTTAATTTTTTTAAAATCAATGTTGTAAATCACAATGCAGCAGGCAATAGGTTACATTGCCCCAAATAACAGACATGGTAGTAACAGGTTTATGGATAAAGGTGCTTATTGTGCCCAAGAAAGTTTCTACCTGCCTAAATAATCAGACAATCTGATTCTTGAATTTAGTATTTTTTTTAAGTTCAAATATTCAGTTCATGTATTGTGGCAAGATGGATGGCAAAATAAATAAAATAAAAACTATTTTCCTGTTCAAATGTTCCAAGATAACATGATGACTATAGCTTAAATTAAACCCCAACATTTCTAGCTTTCAGTTGGAGATAGCAATTTAAGCGACAACTTTGTGCAATTCAAGGGATAAAATGCCAACACCCCTAACATTCATATTTCTCACAATCAGAAATGGTTTCTTATGTTCTCTATGTAACTTTTATCCTCCCAATGAAAATACTGATCTTTTAAAAATAAAGCAGAGTCTTTTTAGTTGAGAAAAATGACTTTTTTTTTTTACCATGTTGAATAGATCTGCTTTAAGATTCATCCCACATGGTAGGTTTCTTCACTGTACACATAATCTTGCGAGTTCTCCTTTGCGACTGTTCCAAACTAAGTTTGTATTTCATGAACACACAAGAACCGAATGGAACCGAATGCTCTAAATAAGAACATTTAGAGCATGAAACTCTATTAGCCATGAAGGTTAATTGACACTTCCAAATTGAGAGGCAGCATGCCACTGAATGCTTTTTAATGGAAGACAACAAAGGGGAAGGTGATTGCTTTGATTCCCTTTTTGTGAGCTTCTTGAGAGCATCTGGTCAGCCTTTATTGGATTGAGGATGCTGAATGAAGAATTCTGATCTGGCCCCACAAGGTGGTTCTTGTGTTTTCCATTTCTCATCCCTCTTTTCTAGCCAACCCTCACCTCTATTCAAGTTTACACAATAACAGCCCCAAATAAATTGACCCTCAAGATGGACCCATCTTGCCATTTCTGAAATTAAATGCCTGGAAGACAAACAAAATGCTTAATCTTCTCTTACTTTAAGGCTACATTTTGACACAATAACAGGTAATCAAATTAACAAAATGGAGGTGCTGTGTTCATACAACCAGCTTATGCCATTTTCACTCTACATCCTTTCTCCTCAGAGGAGGAACTACATCAAGGAATCACAATAGGAAGGGACTTTAGGAGAGTTATCTGCTGTAACCCTGTTCTTACTGGAACTACCAGTGGTGTGTAACAGATTACCATCCAATTTCACTTTGATCTCCAGCAAAGGGGAACTCACGACTTGATTCTAGACTAATGCTCTTGTTAATGTAGCCCAGGATAGCATTTGCCTTTTTAAGAGCCGCATCACACTGCGGGCTCATGTTTACCTTGTAAACAACAAGGAAACCCAGAACCCTTTCATATATATTACTGACAAGCCAAAGATAGAAAAGAAAGGGGGGGAAAATACAAAGACGTATCTTCCAGTCTTCTTTATAGCAGTTATAACTACATAGTTATACTTCATATAGTTATGGGGTTTTTAAAGATAAATTGCTGTTCCATGCCACTGAGCATCCAAGGAAGAGCAATTATAATAATGGCTTATTATTATTTAGTACTGCCAAGTGGAAAACATCCTGGGCAAAGACAGGTAAGGAGAAATAAGCCTAATAAACCACAAGCAACAATTAAAATGCTAGCCTGCAGAGGAGTGAGCAAGGCGTACTAGGTTTAATGGTGACCTCAAATATGTCCCCAAAAGCTCCTGTTCACTCCTTCAAACACCACTACAGGTGGGCAGCAGACAGGTTGAACTAAAGGTTTCTTCAGAGGGATTAGAAATGGGAAGCTTGGGATGCCGTGGTGCCTTCAGGGAAGACAATAAATAAATAATAAAGCCAAACCAGATTCTAGACATAAAAGACGGTTGCTGTGTTGGCTAACAGCTGCAGTTCCATTCGTTCAGCAACTAATTAAGTAAGGCGTGTTGGAACGAGATGGGCTTTGTATGTAATAGACTGTTTACCTGCATTTGTCATCTTCTCCTGTCATGATGTGAGAAAGTAAAAACTGCGGTGGAAAGATTTGTTTTTGCCCTGAAGCAGAAAGTTACCCTCTTCATTGCAATGGAATCCCCATTCCTGACTATCATATCTGTAGGGTTCCCATCAATTTGAGAGAATGGAAAACAAGACAACTGTATGTGGACACCCCCTCTCACATTGCAATGAAATACAAGAGATCTATTTTACTAGATTAACCACATACATAAATTAAATGCATTGTATCAATGATATGTAAGATTTGTTTTTGCACGGCTGCTGTCAAATCAATGTTAATATGATAAAAACATAACAATTACAAACGGCAGCAAGCCTAACTACTTAATATATTAGTTAATAATTAGCACATGAAAAATAAAAACAACAAAATTCAGATTTTGCATGTAATTGAACAAATGACCTTAAAAATAAGCTTGATGTCTAAAACACACACACACACACACACACACAGAGGGAGAGGGAATGGTATTGTGTACATACATGTTTGTTACAAAAAAGACTTGAAAAGATACAAGAAAACCAGAGAATGAAACATAGTAAATATTAAGGTAATACACCATGTGTCTCTGATATACACTTTTCCTCTTTTGTTAATGAAAAGAGAAAATGAACCAGACAACTTTAAACAATATACCTAGAGGAAGGGTTATTTTACAAAGTAACATTAGCTTTGCTTCTTTTTCCACAAGTTTTATTCCTACTGGCCCATTCCTAAAGCATATATTCTTTTTCCATTCTGCAAAATATTATAAACTAACGTTTTATAAAGCAAATATATATATACATGCGAACTAAATTAAGTTGCTAACTTAATAAGCATGGTTTAATCTGAAAGCAGAATATGGATTTCTTTAATGCATACAAAAGAACACACCTAGTCCTAATCTATCTTCTGATTATTCAATCGAGACAGAACAGTAGTGTAACACAAAAATCAATATTTAAACCATGAAAAAATCTTCATCTTATTAACAGCTCCATCTTGGCTACTTTTATGCAACTATAAGTAATATAAACGTACAATTATTTGATTTCTAAATATGAGCTATTTTTAAAACAGATTTAATAGGTAAAACACACGAGAACCCTATTTTATACTTCTAACTGCAGTTCTGTTTTGATTTTCTTCTAATGTCATGAAACACACTGCAATTTCTCTCTCAAAGGGAAATGTAGAGATATTTAATATTTTTAACTCAGCTTAAACAGCTGCTCTACATATCATGAGTGTACCTGAAATATAAAAATGCACAAAAGACAATGCACACAATGAACTGGTAGCTTTTCAGTCCACTGTGACTGAGAGGGTCAGAGTAAAACTCTTGAAAACTACCAATGCCAACTGGGACCTCATATTTTCTACCGTAAATTAACACTTGCACTTTCTGGGAGATATCCTTCTAATCACTAAAAAGATGGACCTGGAATAAAAGGCTTAAACTTCATTTTCTCTGTTCTTTTTTTTTTTTTAAAAAAATCTACCCGGTAGAGATTAAACCCTGCTTCTCAACTGCATGAACTGACTTCAGCTGAAAGGTAATATAAACAGGACACTTTATTATTCAACAAACAGCTCACAACATGCATTGTGATTCCCTATGGCTTGTGTATCAGAGCGCAGAAGGCTCACTAGTTGACATGAAACAAGATCCTTCCAGCAAATAATTGGGCAGATGACCTAAAGAACAAGATCTTACTGGGGTGGGACTGTACCTGAAAGGAATCTCATAT